ATTCTTTTTTTTTTTTTTTTTTTTAACTATTTTACTTTCAGGAAACGAAATGTCTTTGATATGAAAATTTTAAGAATTTAATCTATAAAGCGGATCCCATGGTCCTTAAAAGATTCATGATCGGTATTCTAAAGAAATGAAAACAGTCCATCCTCCTCTAGAGTCTGACCAAGCAGTCATCTGACGAAGGACTGTGGCTCTGGGAAGACGTCTTCTCTAAAGCCTCTCGCGGAAATGCTAGTATGGTAACACGGGGTAAACAGAGTTTTGCATAAATACCAACATTCATCAGGCAGCCCTGCGACACCAGGACGCTCACGGCTGGGCAATGACTTAGTCTGCAGTTTCTTTTCTTGGAGGAAAAACTTCTGGACTTCAGGATTTTGGAAGCTGAATGAAAGCAGGATTTTTACGTTTTGCTGCCTCTGACATTTTTCGTATTTCTCAGACTTTGCAGTTTTTTTCTCAAGTCCTTGAGAGCAGCTAAAATATCAGCAAGCTGTGGGTCATTCTGTGCTTTCTGAGCGTAGAGTCGAAAATGTCTGATGGTTTCAGACAACAGGACTTCGGCGTCTGCTTCTCTCTCCTGAAAGCGCAGCATCCGCTCACAGGCGATGGCGTAGTTTTTGTGCCAATTCACTGGGTGCTCCTTTCGTAAATAGACAATCTCCTTATACAGCTGGAAAACAGCAAAAATGTTGGTATTTCATTGTTATCCTTTGACTTAAAAAGAAAAGAAAGAAAACAGAAAATACAGAGAAGTTGATAGCACAAGAAAAAAAAAAAATCCAAGCAGCCTACGGTAAAAATCTAATCGTTGCTAGGCCATGCAGAAAATGCAGGATGTTACTGTGATTATTACAGTAGCAGGAGGGAAATATGCTGCATCTAGAATGCTTCTGGGGTTTTCGGCTGCTGCGGGAGGAACGGACACACTGTGTCGGGACAAAATGCTCTTCCTCCAGGAAGATGTCTGGGAAAGGGATTTAGTTCTGACTTGTGGAAAGCTATTTACTCAACAGGCAGAGAGGCTGAAACTCTAAATTTAGCTGCTGGAGAAAAGAAAAAATAGCTTCCTTTAGAAGACTGTGTGGCAAAAGAACTAGAAGGAAATTAAATTTTGTTCCACATTATTTATATGAATTTCTCTCGGCACTAAAGACAATAGCAGTGACAACTAGAACAATCCCAACCACCCCATCCTCAGGGAGGCTGGAAAAAGCAAGGTAAGAAGCACCCTTAACACAAGATACTATAAATCTTCACCACAGCCTATAATTTACAATTTTGAGACCTAAAACTTTGCTATAGAAATTCAGAATTTTGATTTTTCCCACATCAGATGCATTAACTGGACAGTGTTAATTCTAACATACAGTTAGAATTTTCAAAATTGAGAAAAGGAAACACATGAAAAGTTAATGTATAAACAAAGATTAGAGGAAAATCACAAAACCAAGGCATCATGTTTGCTTCTTTGGGAATTTCACAGCCTTCCTGGGGACCATCAAGGCAGAGCTGGATTCCCAGGAAGACTGCAGAACCTCTCAACATGGCATAGTAGCGATACTTTCTACGGGACTTGGGTTTCTAAGTTAGAATTATGATAGTGACGTTGTTAAATTGAAAGGATCCAAATGCATTATCCACTCTCTCAGCTCTTCCTCCAGAGCAGACAAATGCACACTGATTTCAAAGGAGAGTCTGTTAAAAACCCCACAGTCCATGTGGAGACATCAATTCCACAGTTAATAAACCCTTGCCTTCAAGCTGCCTTTTAAAGCAACTTTTGTAGTTAATCTAAGTTTTATAAAACATGAAAAAATCGCCACGTACTTTGTTAGGTCAGCCTATGCCCTCTCACCCTCTTGGTAAAACATAAACGGTTTCTCTACCCAGCCTACCTACTCTGTCTTCTCCCTGTGTCCTGAGCATCCTCTGAGGAGGCGGGTGTGCAGCGCTGATACTAGGCAGGTGCTCCCGCCCTAGCAGAGGCAGCACTTACAGGAGTGTGTCCCGAGTGCCCGAGAAATGCGAAGGCTCCCTGTGCCCCATCCACTGCAGTTGCAGCCGTCAGCAACCACTCTGCCCTTTTCCAGAACATTCTGGGTGACCTGTTAAGCCACATGTGCGGAGTCTTGAGAAGCCAGTCATTTGTCATCACGTGCAGCACTGTCTCCTCCTTTGTGCGTGCTACTACGATACTGTCTGAGGGGTGGCCTTCCATCCACTGGGGCACTCTTACTTGATCCAGTGTTTCCCAAGGAGCTGGCTACTCCTTGCTTTCCTTCTACCCTGGAACTTAATATTACCTGAACTTAATACCTTGTACAAGCTACTAAGTGGGATAAGAGGAAAAGTATCCTTTATACCTAGCAAGAATGTCTCTGAGGGTCAACACACCCATCGAGTAACTGGCCACATCTGTCATGTGACTACAATCATATTCATGGAGACGAGCGAGGAGGGCAAAGCTCAGCGCCCAGAGACCACAGATTCACAGGAGAGCCCTCAGCGCGGCCTAACGACCAGTGTGGGAGACCTCACCAACGAGAACACGAAACATCAGTGAGTCCCAAACAAACAGTGCTTGTTTTGCACGGAACTACAAATCATTAGAGATGAATAGGAAATGAGAGATGACCAGGATGTGAGATCTAATATTTTAAAGATTTTTTAAAAGAAAAAAATCAAGGCCTCAGAAGGTTAAGTTATTCATAGCTGACAACATGTGACGGGGTGGCTGAGAAACTGGACCCGCCCCTGCCAGGCCCCCTCCGCAGGCCAAGCCCCCTGCACCCAGGACTCCTGGCTGCCCTCCCACGGGATGCGCCTGTGGGCTGCCTCCGTATGGACGGCCCGCCTCCCTCTCTGGCTTCCTGGCTCCGCCATCTGTTTGGCGAGTTCCTCCTGGTCATTCAGCCCAGTCACAACAGCCCAGTGACATCCCCTGCCCAGCTGGTTTGGCCCAGCTCTGCTCCCCCAGCCCCTCTGTACTCAAAGCCTGCACTGTCACTGAGGACCCGGCCTCCCAGCTCCCTGTCTAGCCTGCTACCTTTCTTGAGGGCAGGAATAAGGCCGCTGTCTACAGCATAATGTGTGTTGCGGAGTGGCTACACCGCAAGGGCTCTGTGAGTGGAGAATAAACGAATGAAGGCAGTGACCCGAGTTCAGAAGTAGAACCAGTCAACTGACCGGACACCACACCGTCCGACTCTCCCCAAGCAAATGCCCTGAGAGAAGCACGGCGGTCCAGAAAGAGCAGGAGCACCTGGAGTTCACGCACACAGTCCTGGACTCTGCGCCCATGGGTCTTGCCGGGGTATCTGTTTCCTGCACGGCAGGCTCCAAGCCTGCCTGCAGGAGCTGAAGAGCCCATTGCTGCAGATCACAGAGGCAGAGACTGGGGGAGCAGTACGGCTTTGAGCCTGTGGCCCTCGTGCCCATTTCCCAGGGGGACAGATCTGGAGAGGGCCTCAGCGTGGCCGTGCCTTTGGAAGGTCTGTACAGCTTCCCGGGGCCACAGTTAGGGGAGCATCTCTCCATGACCTCTTTACTCACAGCACCTCAGCTAGCCTTTGCCCCTTCATTTCAAGTCTAGCCAGGCTCAGGACTTCTGCACAGAGGGTAACTTGCCAGAACTTTTACACTTTTTTTTTTTTATAAAGCCATTATATTAGTTTCCTATTGCTGCTGTAAGAAATGACCACAAACATTGTGGCTTGAAGCAACCTACATTTATTATCTTGCACTTCTGGCGGTGAGAAGCCATAAAATCAGCAGAGCTGTGTCCTCTGGGAGGCTCTAAGGAGACTACTTCCTTACCTGTCCAACCCCAGAGGCGGCCAGCACTTCTCCACCCACAGTCCCTCCTCCACCTTCAGCAACATGGGCTAATACATCCCATCTCCTCCTTCGAGCCCTTCCTGCCTCACCAAGGCCCCTGATGACATCAGGTCCACCTGGATAATCACGACAATTTCCCACTGTAAGACCCTCAGCTTTATCAAATCTATCGAGTCCCCACTGCCATGTGAGGACAGTTACAGGTTCTGGAGTTTAGGACACTTACGGGGACATTTTTCTGTCTACTACAACCATTTAGACACTGTGATAATATGGAACATTTTCCCTTATATACTGCTTTACAGAGTCCAAACTAAGCTGGAAACAAAGAATAAAAACTGTTAGATACAGGGCCGGGGACGGAGCTCAGTGGTGCCAGGCCTGCCTGGAAGCACAAGGTCACAAGTTCAATCCCTGGTACTGAAAAAAAAAAACTGTCACACACCCTTTTCATCCCAAAAAATCACTGCCATCTTCCCACCAAATACCCGTCTTTATAAAAAAATAACATACGTTATACGCATGAGTGTAGAGTCGAGCTTTCATATCTGAAGGCATATTCACGGTTTCTGCAAGGTTGAAGATGAAAAATGGTGTCTTCATCCTGGGAGGGAGTGGAACCTTTCTTTAAAGTCATATCATCCATTTTACTTTCAGGGCTAACTGCTCTGACACAGCATGTACAAAACCCTATATTGTATTATTTTCATTCTCTCATATTCTTAGGAACTTATTCGGAATCACCAGCAACTCTGTTCCCCAAAGATACTGCATTCATTCTTACTATCAAACCTGTCAGGAAGGAAGTACACACACCACTGCCACACTGCACCGGCCTCCTCCAGGTGTGCGCTGTTAGGCCAGGGCCGGCAGCAAGGGGGTGTACTGGGGCCGTCAGCACAGCCCCGGAGACGCCACCAGGGCCGCCCGTGCCACACATGCCTCGTCCTGCAAAGACAGCTGGGCTCTGAGTACGTGAACTCAGCACACTAATTAAATCAATACCTGCCCAAATAATGACCTGAATTCTTCTTTTACTCCTTTTTTGCTCAGCGCTCCCGCAGTCACGTGAAGAACTGAATAAACATATAGTCTAGCTCCATGCAGGACTTCAGTGTCTGTCCCTATAACTAGACTGACAACTAGAGATGTGCCATTTCTGATTTTTTATTACTAATACTGAACAAACTGTCCTGTGCTTATTTTTTAAACATATATTAGAGCTGTATTTCTTGCCAGTTAATTATGAGCCTCTTTAAACTCAGTTCTCAGTGCTGCCCCGGCACAGACTGGGCATCTTGCAGATGCGGGCGCGTTGTCTGTATGGCTTAGGGCTGTGCATTCATGTTCAGGCCGAGGCGTAAGTTGGTCCGCTAGTGTAAGTTGTCTGGATTACTTCAAAACAGTAACAGTGGGGCCGGGGATTTAGCTCAGTGGTTCTACTGCCTGGCTCACAAGTGCAAGGTCCTGAGTTCGATCCCCAGTACCAAAAAACAAAAACAAAAAAGCAGTCAACGTGATCGAAGGGAAGCAGTGGCTGTCATTACACAGTGTCTCCAACAGGACAGAGTCAGCTATCTCCGACTGACAGGGAGGCACAGCATCTCTCTAAGAGTGAGGCCTCGCTTACGTGCCAGTGAGCTCTTTCGGATTCACAGAGCTCTGACGACAGGATGCTGTCTGACCTCCAGGAAGTACAGTGGGGACTCCTGACGTACGAACTCATTTGCGAGGGCTGGCTGTAACTCAAGTTGCTCAATGAAGGCCTAGGCTCCTCTCCACAGCCTTCAAAGTCTCTCTGCTGCACACAGGCAGATCTCAGTGTCCTTAGAGACACTGGCCCAGGATTTCTCAGTCGACACCATACAGGAAAGAATGTTGTAATGTTCCTTCCAGAACTCTATAAGGAATAAATCTGTATCCGAGACCATCTGGAAGCACAAGCAGCTGGCATCTGGGTCGAAATTCAAGAGTTTGTACGTTTAAACTAAAATTCTGGTCGTAACCCAAGTGGTTTGTATATCAGGCTGGCTGTTAACTCGAGGGTTCACTGTATTAAAGAGATGCCAGCTGAACAACTACTAGCACATTCTAACGGAGAGAGGCAGGGTGGTAAGGAGCCTCACTTGCTTACGCCGGTTTACGGGAAGTGTTGGAGTTCGGCGTCCAGAGCCCGGACTCCAGCATGAGCAGCAAGCGGCCCTGGCCACGTGCCCTCTGCCCCACACTGTGCCCCTCTACACGGGCTGCGGTGGTCAGTAACTTCACGAGGCGTTACAAGGATGAAATGAGACTACTCACATGCAACGGCCCCAATCTCAAAACGGAAAGTGCCAAGGCTGCTGCTCTGCTGTGCGAGAGCAGACTGAGACCCGCGAAGAGCAGTTACCTTGCCTGCCACATCTCCTCGTTGGCCACAGACTCCCAGGAAGACAGGCGAAACCTGCAGGTACAGGAGAGACGCCACCCTCTGTCACCGACACCGCCACGACGCGGGACTCTTGCCTCATCAGTTGTACAAGACTGCTGAGACGGGCTGGGCTTGAGGCACCGCTGACAGTAACCACGCTAAAACCAGTTCGATGGTAATGAATTTAGGCTTCTGGAAAAAGTGCTCCTGATCTGCATGACGGGCTCCGGAGCCTCACAGGAGCAAAGGACCCGTAGGAGGGGCTGCAGCGCTGCGAGCTGTGGGACTGCGACAGGTGGCAGAGGTGAGGCGCAGGCCACCCTTGGGACCAGCGGAGAGTCGGAGGGTGCGCTACCAAAGGGACACCCTGCCGGGCCACCGGGCGGCCGGAAGACCTCTGTGCTGATTTGTCATCACCAGTCTCCTCAGTGCGTGCCGCTCTGACAGAGGGCCCGTGAGGGACACTGTACGCGGACCATTTACCGGCTCTCCAGAGATGTCGCCTCTGACTCTTCCTCATGCAGGCCTCAGCACCTCGCCCTGGGAGCCACACACAGCAAGGGCCTCTGCTCACGCTGATCAAAACCTACGTGGTGTCAGCGGGCACGCAGAGCCTTCTGTCGGCACACGAGCCAAGTGTATGTGTCGCTTTTTTCAAAACTAAAACTTCAGTATTCAGGTTTAATTCTGGTGTTGGCGCTTGGTGATAAATAAGTGGGTTTGGGTTGCATTTCAGGTACTTGGTCTCTACAAGGGTCACCGTCACTGCAACAGGTTATATAAATCTTTAAATACAGCGATTCCTAATTTAGCAGATAATGGGCAACTTCTTTAGATGGTGACTTATTTTCCCGACAAGAGAGCAGAAATGCTAAAGGAAGCTAATAATGCCCCCAAAACAGAACCAGGTGGGTACTCGACAACTGTGAAAAATGTGCCCAAATTCAATCTCTCCTACAGAAAAATGACCCGCATTTCTTCTCTCGGTGCTGGGGATTGAACCTAGGGCCTCATACCTGCTAGGCAAGCAGGCAAGAAGTTTGTCACTGAGCCCTACACTCTGCTCATAGCTGCCATTCTGGAAGAGAAAAGCAGGTAACGAGTTCACGCATGTGGACACTGTCTTGGGCCACCGGGTGCCTCTTAAACCTCAGCTGCAGGTAGTAAGTCCCTTCTAGCTTTAGGGCGGTAAGAGGGGTGTGGGGAGGCAGAACAGCTTCACAGGCGGGCCGGCACACGCCTACTGGGGGACGCGCGCAACACCACCTCTCCGCCTGTGTCTCCCGTGGTCCTGTGCACAGGAGGAGGAGGGTGCTGTTTTCCTGGATTTGTTTTGTGATGCTCTGTAGGTAGCAAATCATTTTAATAATTAATAAAAATGCGCATGGAAACCATTAAAAAGGCATCTCAAAATGTAGTACTTTTTAGGTAAGCAAAACTGCTATCTTCTGCTTTAAAAGCACAGCTGCTGTTCCTACCTCCCGTACTCTTCAGTCCAGTTGTAGATGTCTTTTGTGCGTTTAACCCACTCCTCGGGGTTGAACGCAATCTCCAAAGGGACTAACTTGTCACAAGACCCCCACGGCCACAGCGCGTACTTCTTCCTCCAGGTCGGGTCACCCTCATGAATCCCGATGCAAACAAATGTGTCCTTCCTGTGGGAGACAGAAAACAATGGATCCTAGCTTAAAATCCTCCACGTTTCACACAATTCATGAAAAGTCACTTTTGACTCCTTAAACCCTGGTTACCAATCAACCATTTGGGAACATGTTGGCTTATTTAAATCTTGCCCAAATAGATTGTTTGAAATTTATCTTTGTGTAAAAATGTTGTTTTTAGGAACTGAAGGGAAGCAAACAGACAGATGAAAAAAAATCTTCCTGTCCAGAACATTAAAGGAATACATGGAGACAGGCACTTTTACAAGGAAAACTGCTGTGCTATTGTCCCACATGGAAACAAATGTTTTCTCTGATGCTTCTTTTTCTTTTACATACTGAGATGCTTCTTTTGTATCCCTACTTAAAAGTAGTCTTTCCTTCCTCAAATTCCTATTATGCTTTGCTGATTTTTTTCAATGTTTTTGTCGTTATTATTTTGTAGTTGTTATCTGCATTTGTCCTGAGGACCCTCTATCCTTGCATCAACTTTGAATCCCACATAGCATGATGTATACATCACAGCAAATACTTGCTCGATAAAATTAATTAGATTAGGATAACGGCAAAAATTAGTAAGAGATATTGTTAAACAAGCCTGATTTGGGAAAAAGAATAACTGAATAGTTTTCTTCCAATTTGTAATTTATGTCTAGGTATTTACTGGAGGAGAGAAAAGGGGGCATATCTAGGGAAATTGGTTAGAAGTAAAACACTCTGTGAAGATTGAAAGAAGATACTTATAGCTTAGATTTTTTTCCCCACCATTTATGGCCTCTAGAATTTTAGGAAACTCATTTAACTACCCATGTCTAGTCTCATCTGTGAAATCAGTCTGGTAACTACTTTCAAGATCAAATGAAACACTGGTATAAAGTACAGGGCCAAAACTTGTAAACTTCTGGTTCTGGAAAAGATGGAGGAAGCCTACTGTTGATCCCTTTACATTCAACTACTGCTCTGGGATGTGTTCGTGGAAGCAGTTCCAGGAAATAGTAGAAAAGACTGGGCACAGGACCAACATTAAAATCTCTATCGAATCAGCAGTCAATTACAATTTGTCTCCCTTCATTATTGCCTGTCCTGTCCTCAAAGGACCAGAAACCCAGAAGTACATATGAAATGAGGAACAAAAAAAGCTCCTGGGACACTGGGGTAACTAGAAAAGAAAGCAAGCAAGAGAGCGATCCTGCTTGTATAGGAACTCCTGGCTTACCTCTCAGCTAGTTCTCTTGGCTTGCATGGATCTGATCCTCAACAGAGTTTGCAAAATTAACCACAGGGAAAACTACCACCCAGGTCTCAGACTAGACATTTGGTAGCACACACATGGCATCGATTCAAGTATCACTGCAAATGTTTTGAAAACTGGCAGTGGAGCCAGAATCCACAAAAGGTCAGGCCAGAACATGCAGCCTGAGAAGGACCTAGTCAATACTCTGCTAAACAAAAGCAAACAAAAACTAGGTATCTTCTTGAGATTTAAATAAAGCATACATATTCAGAAGTCCAGGATAGAAATCTAAAATTACTCAGCATATGAAGAACTAGGAAAACATTTAATTCCCAAGTGAAAAATCAATAAGAGATGTCAATTCCGAATGACATAGCTGCTGGGGCTGGGGATTTAGCTCAGTGGTGCTGTTGCCTCCTTGCAAGCACAAGGTTTTGAGTTCAATCCTGGTACAGCAAAAAAAAAAAA